GGAGGAGGGGGGTGAGAGCTGTAGAGGGGGAAGGAAGAAGTGAGGGTGCGATGTAGAGCTGTTTTGGGGGAGTAGGGGGGTAGAGAGAGGCAAGTTTGGGGATGGAGGAGAATGAGGAGGAGTGTCAGGAATGGACTCAGGATTGGTGGTGGGACTCACCTGCCGTGTGGGCTGCAGTACCAGGGCTGACCAGCGGGTGCTCTCAGCAGCCAGAAGCTCACTCCTGCAATCAGCCAACACCTGGGGCTGATTGCAGGAGGTGTATTTAAGGAATGGCCAGACCTGCATTCAGTGCCTTGGTGTATGTTTCCCATGAGCCCCTGTACCTGGTATCCTGTGTTCCTGCCTATCTGCCTGGTTGCTGACCCTGCTTTGATCCTGACCTCTGCTGACCGTCTCCTGTTGAACCCCTGGATTGCCTGACCCTCCTTCTGCCTGATCATCTGCTGCCCATGAGTTACTGACCCTGACTATTCTCTGCCTGCTCCTCCGGTACCTCACTGCCCGCACGTTGCTGACCTGGCCTGCCTGACTACGCCTGACGCTACCCAGACGATCCATCCATCCCGCACGGATCCAGTCACTACTGTCCAAACCTGCCAGCCCCTTCACATCAGGCTTTCCCCCGGTACATACCCTCAGCGGACCCCTCTACCACAGTTGGGTGCACTCAGGGGCCGTGACCTGGTCTCAGTCCTGCTCCAAGTCCATCCCCACCATCAGGGGCTCTGGTGAAAAGGCAGACTGGGGCTTAGACTCCGCGCCCTGGGGAATCCTGTTCTGTGGGTCACTAGAGATCCCGCTGGGCGGTGCCTGACAGTACCTTATGGCCCTGACCATTCCACCTCTCCAGCCCTGACTACGCCTGTGTTCCTGAAGCCTGCTACTTCCCTGTGTCAGTCCACACATTTCTGGTCACACCCAGATCTCTGACAAGGAGGAGTGCAGGTGGCATGCTAGGGTGGGCAGAATGCTGATTGGGTCGGAGAGGAGGGATTTTTCAGTCAGGACATGAGGATGGGGAGAGTCCGTTATGCCATGTCTGAGTTCATCAGTGTCCAATCATAGGAGGGGAGTGGGAGTGGTGGGCAGCTGGGGCCGCAGCTGGCTGGTTGCAGTCTGTGGGTGCTGTAGGCCGGCGTCCGCGGGTGTTGTGGCACGGCGTCGGTGGGCACAGTAGTGCGGCGGCTGGACGAGCTGTGGGACGCGGTGATTGGAGGTGTTGTAGGTCCGGCGTCAGGGGTGCTGGAGGCCCGGCTTCGGGAGGCATTGAGTGCACAGCTTCGGGAGGTGATGAGAGCCCGGCGTCAGGAGGTGTTGAGGGCCCGGCAATGGGAGGTGTTGAGGGCCCGGCGTCAGGAGTAGCTGAGGACCCGGCATCAGGAGGCGCAGAGGACCTGGTGGCAGGAAGTGCAGAGGACCTGGTGTCAGGGGGTGCTGAGGGCCCGGTGTCAGGGGTGCTGAAGGCCCGGCGTCAGGAGGTGGTGTAGGCCGGCGTCAGGAGGTGGTGCAGGCCGGCATCAGGAGGTGGTGCAGGCCGATGTCGGGAATGGGCTAAGCGTTGGTGGGCGCCTCCGTCGGATGGAGCGGGGCTCAGGGCTGTGCGGGGCAGGGGCATGGTTGAGTGGAGCACGGTGGGGAGGAGATGTGGCAGAGGTGGCTTCCCCAGTCGGGGCCGGTGGCGGCTTACCCTCTTTGTGCCAGCGGGGGTGGTTGCTGCTTCTTTCAATCTGCGGGACCCGGAGCGGGGCGTCACGGCAACGATCCTCAGCCCTTCACAGTTCGCGCTCCTCCGTGGTCTGCTGTGGCTGGTATGAGAGGCCGCGGCTTCAGGGGTCTTGGTAGGCCAGGAGTCGCCGGAGTTTCGCCAGAGGGACAGCGTGCCGGAGGGAGGGGTGGTGGGCTGGTGGTCCCTGGTGGGGTGGTGGGCTTGCGATCCCAGATGAAATAGTAGCCTAGGGTCCTTGGTGGTTTGCAGTCCCTGGTGGGTAGTGGGTGCCCCTGTTTGAGTCCCTGGCGGGATGGAGGGCTTGTGATCCCTGGAGGGATAGTGGCGGGTCCCAGGTGGGATGGTGGGCTTGCGGTCCCCGGTGGGATAGTAGCCTGGGGTCCCTAGTGGCTTGCAGTGCCTGGTGGGTAGTGGGTGCCCCTGATTGTGGCCCTGGTGGCTTGCGGTGTGTGATGGCGGCTGGGCCCCCTGGTGGGTAATGGGTGCCCCTTTTTGAGTCCCTGGTGGGATAGTAGCGGTCCCAGGTGGGATGGTGGGTTTGCGGTCCCCGGTAGGATAGTAGCCTAGGGTCCCTAGTGGCTTGCAGTCTCTGGTGGGTAGTGCGTGCCCCTGTTTGTGTCCCTGGTGGCTAGTGGTGTGATGGTGGCTGGGACCCTGGTGGGTAATGAGTGCCCCTGATGGAGAACTAGAGTGCCAACAAGTGGGTTGAAGCAGGTTGCTAAGACTTTTGCTAGGATTTTGATGTCAAAATTAAGTATTGATATTGGCCTGTAATTAAACCATGTAGTGTAGTCAGTATGTGACTTAGGGATCATTGAGATAGCTTCCGTTAATATCTCAGCTTGAAAGGAGTGGCCATCAAGATGCAAATTGTAAGCCTGGACTAGCAGGGGAACAGGAAGGATGGCAAACTTCTTGTAATAGGTTGCCAATAGGCCATCATGTCGTTTACGTGGCTTCAGGGCCTGAATTTCCATTTGAATTTTCTTTGGCTGTAATGAGCCATTCCAGGTTATCTCACTGGGAGGATGAAAGAGAGGGAAGTTGGATGGAGGAGAAGAGGTTGTCCATAAGGGAAAATGCATTAGGATCTTTGTAGAGGTCACCAAGGCATCTACGAAATTATTGTTGAATTTTATTGGGATTGCTATAGTAAGTGTCCTTGGACAGTTTCAACCTCACAAGCTTGGAGTGTAATCAGCTTTACAAAGTCCCAAGGCTAGAAATGTGTCCAGTTTGTTTAATTTCATAGGGAAGGTCATCTTCTGGATGTGGAGCCAGGGTTCTATGCATTCTATTCATTTCAAGGAGCTCTATTGGTATCGATGGTGCAAGTTCCTGAAAGACAACAGTAATGGTGGATTGGAGATCTATCACTGTTTCAGGTATCCTGCAGATACGCAGGTTTGAATACCTAACACTGGTATCAAAATCCTCTAGGTAGGCCCGGAGGGTATAGTTTCCCTCCTGCAGGGCCTTAAGTTCCTCCAAATGGTTGCTAGTGAGGATATCAAAATCATCTGCCCATTGGTGTCTGAGGTGCTTTTTAGGGCCTTTGTAAGCATCTGCTTGAGTAAGTCAGACTGTAAGTTGTCAAACTGTAAAGCTAAAGGAGTCACCCCAAAGTCAGTGTCCAATTCACCATGAGTTGCAGCTGCAAGCTTGGTCTGTTTAGGAGAGCACGACATGTCAGGCCAGGAAGATGGAGGCACCACCATTTTGTAGAAGGTCTTGACCAGCACATCCCAGATTGATTTCAGCTTGGGTTTTTATTTGGAGTTACCGTAGACCATTGCGGCTGGTTCTAGTAGTTCCCAGCAGTGTGCAGAGGTGGCAAGTAGAAATGAGCGGGTTGCGAAGTGCTGCTGCGTGGCTTGTTTTGCTCTGATGGCTTCACGCATGCCCCCATCCAGTTCTTGCTGCTTCTTAGCTATGCCATAAGTGACTCATGATCAGACTGTATATAACACATAAATTAGTGGCAGGCAGTGCATACTCAGTGCTACATGAAAAGACTGAAGGAAGCATCTGGGTATTATTATTATTATTGTTATTAATATTATTCATAATAATAATGAACATTATGCCACTGTGAAATGATTAGGTAACTGCAGAAATACAAAATAAGGCAAGGTAATTGAAGACCAAAAATATTATCTTTTCATTAATCTGTATATTTTTCTTAAAACTATTTCTAGATTGCTAGTTGCTAATCTTATTAACCTCATTAATGTTTTATCTATATTATTAATGGTACTAAAGTCCCATGAGAATATCACTGGTATAGATCCCCAGTGGTTCCATGCAATTCATTCTGTTTCTTTATAAAAGCCACAGTGCCCAACATGATCAGAAAAGCATTCAAAGGACCAACATTTCCAGCTTTCTAGGTTTTTTAACCATCATTTCTCTCTTTACTGGAATCAGTTCACATTGTTTTTGAAGCTGTTACACAAATGTTACCAGGTAATTTTAATATTCTGTTTTCAGGTTATGGGGGAGAGCAATATGACTAGAATTTCCACAATCCATCTCTTAGGATTTCAGACCCCACACAATGTTAAATTTTTGGTGTTTTTTGTTTTGCTTATGCTTTATTGTGTTACTCTAAGCGGAAACCTCCTGATCATCACATTGGTGTCCTACAGTAAAACCCTCCAGTCTCCCATGTACATCTTCCTCTCCCAGCTCGCTTTGTCAGATATCATACAAGCAACTGATATTCTTCCTAACACATTTCGAAGAGTTTTGATGAACGATACCATTATGTCATTTTCTGATTGCCTCTCCCAGTTTTATTTCTGTGGTACTACATTAATATTGGCGTGTCTTCTTCTGACTGATATGTCTTATGACAGATATTTGGCCATCTGTAAACCATTACATTATAGTTTGATAATGAACCCCCGCTGTTGCTGTATTTTGATTATGACATGTTGGACTTTAAGTTTTTTAATTGTGCTGATACATACTTTTAATATATCTCAATTGCAATTTTGTGGTCCCAACATTGTTGACCACTATTTCTGTGATCTTGTTCCAGTTCTTAAGCTTTCCTGTTCCAATACAGCGATTATTGAACTAGAAGCAGCACTGGTTACTTTTTTATTGGTGTTATTCCATTTTTCATTATCATTGTATCTTATATTATTATCATAGTCACCATTCTTAAAATCCCATCTATTACTGGAAGGAAGCAGGTTTTCTCTACATGTAGTTCCCACCTGACTGTTGTCTGTGTCTATTATGGCAACCTAGCCTTTGTTTATTTGGTACCCAGTGGAGGACAGTCGGAGAACATTACTAAGTACTTATCACTGTCCTATACTGTAGTCACTCCACTGGTAAATCCTCTTATATACACTTTAAGGAATAAAGACCTGAAAAAAGTCTTGAACAGTTCCTTTTACAAACTTTGGTTTATGAATGTTATTAGAAACAAAAATTGCTCTTAACTGAACTAGACGTGTAAAATATGATGAAATGAAAATCCAATAATTTTAAAGTGATTGTAAAGGCAGATTTGAAAAAAAATTACAAACATGTCATACTTACTTCTGTGCAATGGTTTTGCATAGACCAGCCCAGGTCCTCCTCTTCCTGGGTCACCCACTGGCACTCCTGGCCCTTCCTTCCTGCCAAGTGACTCCATAGCAAGCAGCTTGCTAATGAGGCACCTGAGCAGGATCACTGCTGAGCAGCTGCTCTGTGCATCCATTCACACACAGACATAGCTCGGCCCAGTTCTCTCCTACTTGGCTCACTGGCTGTGATTGACAGTAGCAGGATCCAATGGCTCCCTCTGCTGTCTCACCTAATGAGGAGGGAGAGACCCAGGACAGCCAGGACATCGCTGCATGAGATGGGGCTCAGCGAAGGGCAGACTGACAACTTATGGGGCCCCCGAGCAATAGGGGATCATGGGGCCCCTGTGTCCTTGCCCAAACTCAAAAAAGCCTATGAAAAAGGTACCAGGGGCATCTCATGGGGCCCCTACTGACCCTGGGCCCTCGAGCAGTGCCCGAGTTTCCAAATGATCAGTCCGCCCCTGGGCTCTGCTAACTATCAAGGGCTGGGGGAAGGGCTGCTGCACACAAAAGGTTTTTTTACCTTCATGTGTAGAATGTTGTTGTTTCATTTATTAATATGGGGAAGTTTTTAATATTTTTTTATAATACATTATGTATAGTAAACGGCAGTTCTGTGATTGTGGTTGTGAATATGTTTATAAAATTACAATTTACCTCATCTTATCTTATCCTATCTCTTCTTTGATAAAAGAAAGTAAATCATATATCTCATATGTCTTTACTTTTATTTAAAAAAAATAATAATAATGTGTATCTCTATATAAATACAGTCTGCTCTGCACCTTTGGCCCCACCAACACCAGAAGTATTATAGTTCAAATATTTGTGTTTGGTATCTCATTGTAGATAAATGAGAGCCACAACTAATAAGTATTATTACATATTTGTATTGTATAACTCTGCACAGTTTTGTACTGTTAAAGCTTTTGCTAAATCTATATGGCGCTGTTTTATATTTGTCACACTTAAAGAAATGTAGGTTTTTTTCCCCTATTTATATTTACCTAGGTGGATGCAGCATCGGCCCAATGCTGCATCTGTCCTTCGCCGGCTCTAAGGCTGAGAACACAGTGATGACATGATCGCTGAGTTCTCCCCGCTGCTCTGAGCAGAGAGTGGGACTGTCAGTCATCGCTTTCTGCTCTGTGCCCCCCCCAGTGCTCACTAGAGCGCTGGGCTGTGTAGGGGGAGGGATTGGCTGGCTCAAGGCTGAGCCAGGTGCAATTCCAGACTCTGGGGTAGATCCCGATTTTGAAGTCGGGATCTTTCCCCAGCCTGGACTGGCTGAGCGTCATCAGCTGACAGCGAATTTCAGTCCACTGTCAGCTAAAAATGAGTCACAGGAGAGCAGAACAAACTGTACTCCTGTGGTCCACAGGCGAAGTACAGCCAAAAAGGCTTTGGTTGTACGTCTCCTTTAAATTATTCAGATCATCAAACAAATTTTAATATTACCCAAAGATAACCTCAATACAAAAATGTAGTTTTTAAATGATGATTTTATTTATTAAGGGAAAAAAGCTGTCCAAACCTGCCTGGCTCTATGTGAAAAAGTAATTGCCTCCTAAACCTAATAACTGGATATGCCACCCTTGGTGGCAACAACTGCAATCAAGCGTTTGCAATAACTAGCAATCAGTCTGTCTGATTATGACTGAGCAATCAGTTATGTTTTGATTCACTTTTCTTTGCAGAATTGTTTTAATTTAGCATTGGAGGGTATTCAAACATTAAAGGACTGTTTGACATCATGCCACAGTATCTCAATCAGATTTAATTCTGGACTTTGACTAGGTCTCTCCAAAAACTTTTTTCTTTCCAAGCCATTCAGAGGTGGACTTACGGGTATGTTTTGAATCATTGTCCTGCTGTTGAACCCAAGTGTGCTTGAGGTTGAGGCCACAAACTGATTGCTGAACAGTCTCCTTCAGGATTTTCATGGTTTCATCATTTATGGCAAGTTTTCCAGGTCCTGAACCCGCAAAGCAGCCACAGACCATCACACTACAACCACAATGTTTTGACTGTTGGTATGATGTTCTTTTTATGAAATGCTGTGTTAGTTTTACGCCAGATGTAATGGGATGCATGCACCTTCCAAAAAGTTCAACTTTTGTCTCATCAGTCCATAGAATATTTGTCCAAAAGTCTTGGTGATATTCAAGATGTTTTTGCCATATGTGAGATGATCCTTTGTGTTAATTTTTGGTCAGCAGTGGCTTCCGCCTTAGAACTCTCCCATGGATGTCATTTTTGCCCAGTCTTTATCTTCTTGTTGAATCATGAACACTGACCGCAAGTGAGGCAAGTGAGGCCTGCAGTTCTTTAGAGGTTGTCCTGGTTTTTTTATGACCTCTGGATGACTCGTCATTGTGCTCTTTGAGTGATTTGATAGGCCAGCCACTCCTGGGAAGATTCCCCACTGCTCCAAGTTTTCGTGGATAAAGGCTTGCTTTGCTGGGGTTTGCTTAGGAAAAAGATTTGCAACCTTTTCCAGACTGATACAGCACATATCAATTACTTTGTCTTGCATCTGTTATTGAATTTCTTTAGGTTGTGGCATAATGTGTTGCTTTTTGAGATCTTTTAGCATGCTACACTTTGTAAGACAGCTTCTGTTTAGGTGACTTCTTGATTGAACAGGTCTGGGAGTAATCAGACCTGAGTGTGGCAAGTGAAATTAAATTCAGCCTTCCAAAAAATGTGGTTAATCACAGTTCATTCATGAGTTAGCAAGGGAGGGGGGCAATTACTTCTATTCCAAATGGAATATAGTTTTAGGCCTATAATTGTATAATTTTCCATATTCTATACCTCAACCTCAAGAAGCAAAATGTAATGTTTATCTATATTGTATCTGTATTATTGTAAAGAAATGCCTTATTTTTATGTACAGCACATTATCTGGCACACAAATGAACTAGTCTTAAGGTCAAATTATGGCGGATATTTCAAAGAGATATTTTTGGAAAGATAACAAAAACACTTTACCTCCAAGCTCCCACAAAACCCCTGTATCAGACATGTTCTGATCACTTCAGATCAAGAATTTTGTTGCTTACAATATTAACCAATTCAATACCGGGCAATTTTACACCTTCCTGCCCAGGCCATTTTTCAGGTTTCAGCGCTCTCACACTTTGAATGACAATTGCGCGGTCATACAACATTGTACCCAAACTAAAATTTTATCATTTTCTTCACACAACTAGAGCTTTCTTTTGGTGGTATTTAATCACTGCTGGGGTTTTTATTTTTTGCTAAATTAACAAAAAAAGACCGAAAATTTTGAAAAAAAACACGTTTTTCTTTTTTTCTGTTATAAAAGTTTGTAAATAAATAATTGTTCTTCATAAATTTAGGCCGAGATGTATTCTGCTACATGTCTTTGGTGAAAATAACCCAAATTAGGATGTATTATTTAGTTTGTAGGAAAGTTATAGAGTTCACAAACTATGGTATAGATCTGAAAATTGATCAATCCTGAAGTACTGACAGCCAATCTAATTTCTTGAGGTCCAAGAATGTCAGAACAGTACAGATATCCCCCAAATGTCAGGACAGTACAGATATCCCCCAAATGTCAGGACAGTACAGATATCCCCCAAATGTCAGAACAGTACAGATATCCCCAAATGTCAGAACAGTACAGATATCCCCCAAATGTCAGAACAGTACAGATATCCCCCCAAATGTCAGAACAGTACAGATATCCCCCAAATGTCAGGACAGGACAGATATCCCCCAAATGTCAGGACAGTACAGATATCCCCCAAATATCAGAACAGTACAGATATCCCCTAAATGTCAGAACAGTACAGATATCCCCAAATGTCAGGACAGTACAGATATCCCCCAAATGTCAGAACAGTACAGATATCCCCCAAATGTCAGGACAGTACAGATATCCCCCAAATGTCAGAACAGTACAGATATCCCCCAAATGTCAGGACAGTACAGATATCCCCCCAAATGTCAGAACAGTACAGATATCCCCCAAATGTCAGAACAGTACAGATATCCCCCAAATGTCAGGACAGTACAGATATCCCCCAAATGTCAGGACAGTACAGATATCCCCCAAATGTCAGGACAGTACAGATATCCCCCAAATGTAAGAACAGTACAGATATCCCCCAAAAGACCCCTTTTTGTAAAGTAGACAGTCTGACGTACTTCATAAGAGGCATGGCGCCTTTTTTGAAGTTGTATTTTTTTTGTCATAATTTTTCGGAAAATTAAAAAATTAAAAAAATTAGTTTCACTATTTTTTTTTTTTACATACTGTCACCAGTGCAGTATAGCGTCATCATATAACTGGCATGGCAGTGAACAGGGACACTGACTGGTGACAGTATGAAAAAAAAAAAAATATATATATATATATATATTTTTTTTTTTTTATTATTATTATTATTTTTAATTTGCTATTACATTTTTTTTTTTTTTTAGATTTTTTTTTCATATTTTACTATGACCAAAGTAGTACAATGTTACCATAGTAACATTGTACTACTTTGTGGAAGTTATCAGTATTTTTTTTTTTTACACAATTTGCTTATAGCAAAGAATTACTTTGGTATAAGCAAGCATTTACCTGAATAACATCGATTCAGTCAGGTTTTTTTTTTTTTTTTTTTTTTTTGTGCTTAGCTGTGATTTGGCCACAGCTAATCACATGACATGTGCATGTGACCTGCTGTGACCATTCACAGCTAGCCACTAGTATACAATGGATGGCATGAATGAAGCCATCCATTGTATACAACTGTCATGTGACCTGCTGTGATTGGTCACAGCAGGTCACATGGTACCGGCAACAGGGGCCGGTACTCAGATCTGTCATCGGCCGTGTCTGAGGTACA